GAAGCGCTGGGAGCAGCGGTGCCAACAGCCTCAGCAGTCCCTGAATGAAGGAACGAACGCTTCTGCGCCCTGCACAGCACCTGCAAGCCAGCCAGGTGCTTCTCCAGCTGCAGCTGGGCGGGGCAGGTATGAACAGGGTTAGCTGTAAGGGCCTTTTTCGTGAGCAAATGTGTGTATCGATGTGGAGGTTTCCAGCACGGCTCTCCCTGGGAGGAGGGACAGTGGGGGCCATCGTGCCGCCCTCTTGGCTGCTTCCCGGGCTCATTCCCAGCAGCACTCCAATCCCACCCCCTTTGTTCAAGCAGGGTCACTCTGCAGGAGTCTTCCTTGTCCTGCTCTGTTCAGGCACTGACCCCTCCATATGCCTCTGCGACTCTTCCTCTGGGCATGAGGCCTTGCTGCGTGACCGGCCCAAAGACAAGGAGCAAAGCTCTGGCCTGAGTGGTTTGCAGGGCGAACGAGACTGACAGCTGGGGAAAAGGAGCCAGGGGCTGTGCCCTGCCTGCTGCTTGGCTGCAAAGCCAGAGCAGGCAGCAGAGTGGGGTGGGAGAGCATGATGAGTGATACCTCTATGTAACCTCCTGCTGTGCTAGGGAAGCTTGATAACCAGGGCAACAAAGCCCCAGACGAGAACCTTCAGCACAGAAACCTTCTCCTCAGTAAGAAAAAAGCTCCCCTACTGTTCCCCTCCCCATGCACACTTAGGAAGAGTTTCCCATTGGCTTTTGGGCAAAACATTAGGAATACACAAACTGTACCTGTCCACCCTTATGGCTGGCCATCAGCATGTCAAGAAGCTTTGGGTGAAGGCAAAAATTCAGAAGGGGTGAAATACCTGCAGACATGCCTGTGTGAAATTGTCAAACAGCAGCAAAATGTCACCCCCCTGAGCCAGCCAGCACAGCCCATACCTCGCAAAGACCTGGGGGTGGAGCATGACCATGAGCCATCTGAACAGGGAAGAAGAAATGAGAAAAGGGAAGGGTGAGGGAGGAGGGAGAGGGGGACAAATACATCCTCCTGGTACTTGGCATGCCTTGTGGCCCAATGTCCACAGCTGCAAGAACAAAGGAAGAGGCCCAGTCATGGCATCCTTGCAAGTCATGGACCTTGCTGCCACCTGCTTGTCTGGGGTGTTTTGGGTGCTTTGTTGTTGGTAGGAGCGGGAGGTGGTGCACGGAGGTCCTTGGTGACCTCCTCCTGTGCTCCTCGTCTTGCCCAAAAGGTGTAATTTGGTGGTGGCTCTGAAGGGAACTGGTTGCCAGCAGTAGCTGCTGCTCCCATGCCCCACCCCGCTATCCCAGACCGAGAACTGCTTCCTGGAGTATCCTGACAGTAACTACATTTATGGGGTCCCTCCTCTCTCCTTTTTTCATCAGAGGACTGTGGAAAAGAGGAAAGCATGCATGCCTGTCCTGGAGGGAGAAGCCTGCAGCTGAAATCTTTGTGCTCCCCACTAAAACCAAAATTGTATAAGCCATTTTGTACCTCCATAGTCTTCCCACAAAGCTTCAATCCAAGTGACTGTTGACTGCTGAAGATGCCATGTTTAATTGTCAAGGCAATGGTGCATGGTAAGGGGAAGCCTCGAAAGCAGGACCTTCCCTCCCCCCAAACTTCCCAAAGTAGCTGAGGTAGAGCTACCATCACGGGCCTCTCCATGCATGAGCAGCGGAAACAGGGAGCAGGAAAGCCTGCTGATTGCCTTCAGTTTCCAGTATGCCCCCATGAGCTGTGGGTGGCTTCTAGAGTATTTGTATGTGCAAAACCATCACTGTATCACCAGCCCCAACCCACAGTGCTTTGAGGAGAGAAAAGCTGTGCAGGTGAAGTTCCATGGGCCATGGGAGGCTTAGCAGAAGATGTACAGTTAACCATGTGTTGGGACCCTAAGTTCCTCACACGGGGCAGGCTCTGGGTATGTGCTGTCTGCCTTGCTAGCTGCTACACAGCACAGTTCCCCCGGGAATGTTTTTTTAAAGACCAAACAGTCTTGGTGGTTGTACCAGTGATTTATGTCACCTCTCTGAGACCAACGAAACAAGCCTCACACAGCTCTTCTTGCCCAGCTTGACCTCCCATGCATCTACAGAAAAGCAGTGCCTTTTTGTTCAAGACACTGAAATGCTGATAGCAGGAATTACCGAGGTAGGCTGTGGTGAGGAGCAGGCCAGAGAGATGGTGCTGGTTGTGCCATCACTAAAGTCTTCTGCAAGGTCCAGCAATGGGGATATGGCACGATGCCAGAGAGCATGTTCTTCTCTGGACTTGCCCTCATGGCAATCCCAGGACTCAGAGATGTCCCAGTGGGCATTAGATACTACCTGGTGATCTGTTCAAGACCCATGCTACCTCCAACAAGCAATTGTTGGGTTTTCAACATCACAGTGCCTTATTCAAGACTTTAATTTTAATTTCTTAAATTTATTTAGATGCAGAAAAAAAAATAACCCTAAAATTTAGAGCAATTTTCTGGCTTGCTACAGTCCACAGAGAGGAAGTGGCACTTTCAGGGGCAGTTCTTCCGATCTAAGTCAGTTATTTTAGTAAGGGAGAGATTGCCTTCTGCTCTCTGGTAACTGTAGGGGAAACATGGATGACTAGGTCAGACTAGACAGTTTCAGTCTGATGAGTTTGGGTGATGAACCTCATTACTTTTAATTTAAACATAGACAGGACCATCAAACACTCAGATCAGGTAGCACAGAGGCTTAACTGATACACTACTGGATACCTTGCCAAATCTTTGAACCTATGAACCCGTTCCTGTTCCTAACAATAATCTGGCTGAGAGCTGATGCTGATGTTTACCAACTTACAGTAGAAGAAACACAAAGTATTAGGGAGGTTACCAATCACACTGCTGGCTTTGTGCTTTGCTCCCAAGTGACCTATAACATCAAGTGTGTATAAAAGTACCTTGTAATTGTTGCTTCACATGACTTCCTGAGGGACAAATACAGTTGTTTTTTTTCAGATTTTCAGTGATCTCGGGAACAAGAAGCAACAGTATCCAAATGTGTAAGAAAGGAATGCTTGAGACAATCTTGCTATTTCCTTGTCATTACTACATGTTAAAAATCTGGAAATCTGTGTTTAAGCCATGATCTCAGATCCAAGCAGACTGGAAAGTGACAGGCTAGAGAGTGTCAGTGTCTTGTCCTGACAGGAAATAGCTTAAAGATTTCACAACACCACATGTTCCCTTCAGAGAATGAGAGAGGCTACTAGTCCTATTTACATAACTCAGTACTGCTCTGAGAAGGCATCCTTTAGTCAAGGCATACCCTAGACTAAGCAGCACTATGTAAGACTATTCCAACCAACCTATAAATCAACACCAATTAAAGCAAGTTACCTCGTGGTTCTCCCCTTGGTTAGTCATGGGTTAAATGCTTTCAAAATTATTAAATACTTTCAAAATGTTAACTGTCTTGTTTTGTACCTTTATATTTTTCTACACAGTGGACCAAATACAGCCATCACCTAAGTACTTGCAAGTTAATTTGCACTGCTTTCTACTGCACCAGGGACTGAGTTTGAGCCAGTTATCCCCATACAATAGCTTCACTTAATGAGAAAGACATGACCCAGATTTCAGACTGAATGAATAAGCTGAAAATTCCCAGGCTTGTTGCCATAGTTACAGGGAAACTACTGTTAAAAAAGGTGGGAAGAGAGGGAGAAGGAGAAACAGTAAGAAACAAAGAGAGCCATGTTTTGGTCAGGGTTAAGCCATGTGATAAAGAGAGAGGTGATAATCTTGAAGGAGCAGGACTTCAGTGATGACGCTCAGAACGGGTTATCCAGGAAGCCAGTGCTTCTGCTACTTGGTTGCTATTGGGTTGATTCTACAGACACTGATTATTTCTAAGTGGTTACCACAGTGACTAAACACAATGCATGGGCAACTGTTAGATCAGCAATGGCAGAGAGGGGTTGGGTGGGGGTGAGACAGACTTTTCCACCATTTATTTAATAAAGAAATTGCCTCAGTTTAGAACAGCAGGCTGCTTACTTTTCCACTTTACAAAGATAGTGAAACTTGCAGCAATGTCTTGTTCAACCAGAATATGACATGGAAAACTACAATTTACTAAAAATGCATTTTCTCCAAGAGCTGGCAGGCTGTATTTGCAGGACCCTGGCTAAACTGAATTTTCTGCTGGTTTTAGAATAGGGAAAGCTCACTCCTTCATAAAGAAGTCACAGAAGCAAAATGAAAAAAAGGAATAGACAATACACAGTAGCATTAGCTGAAATTATTATATAGCAGAAGACAGTTGTGGGAGGTTGAACAGAATTCACTATAGCTAGCTGTTATTACCTCATTAAAGAAGCCTTGCAAGTAATTTCTTCTTTTCTGACCCCACAATTATGTTTATTGCTTTTTGGTAATTTATTACTGTGCAAGCAAATGACCTCTACATTTGAATCATAAATCAGCAAGATTCCAGATCAAGGACACTTCACCTTGCAACAGCAGAAGAGAGGGTGAGCTAGTTTAATGCCACACTAAGTTACAGTGTAAGTATCCCCTTGAAGAAGTGGGTCAAGAGATTTCAAACTGTGGGGAAAGGGGGGACTGGCAGATGGGCTGAAAGCTTAGCTGGTACTGTCTCACACCTGAATTCGCAAGGGTGTCATGTTCCTAAGCAGTGGTTTAGCAGCATTTGCTCAGGAAGGTAATTATTTTCTGCCCCAAAACATGGAAAAAAGACAAAAGCAGGTGCTGCAGCAGCAGCTCCTCCAGCAAGACTGGAAAGGCCATGTCATTGCCAGTCTGGCTTTCATGAAGCAGGAGCAGTACACATAGGAGAGTGCATGGGATGAGAAAAACACAGGTTTCTGTGGCAGCACAAATCCTAGAGTTGAAAGATTTTTAGAATTAAAGCAAGACGTGCAATTAAAACGAAATAGATATTCCAGAAGAACAGCATGTAGAGACAAGCCCTATAATCTTATAAATCAAGTGCAAATACTGAGCTCTAACTTTGAATTATTCTTAATCAGCAAAGCTGGCATAGCTTCATTCTTTTTTCCAATGCTGAGTAGGAAAAAAATAATAATTTTTTTTTTTTTTAAAAAAGGGAAACTTTTTCAAACTTTAACTTCAAAATATTCAAACTCAAGCATATAAATCTATAGACTACCTTTAAAATGCTCTGGTTTGGATTACCCCAGACAGCACCAACCAAAAATAGCCAATGTGTCTCAGTATTTTGTGCCAAAGGGAGAGGGTTCAGAGTAGCCATGCAATTATTTATTGCAATGATTCCTCATTTCTCCTTTCTAAGGTTCTCTCCTTCTTTTTTCTTTTTTTTTCTTTTTCTTCTCTCAAGCACCATTATTTAAACAAATAAATTATATATAAATGGTTGCTAAATGATGTTCTGAAGGACACATGTCACAAGCCATTTGGTGGCACTGCCCATATAAACTTTTAGTCACTAGGCAGACTGACAGGCTGTGGAATGTCCACTCCAGGTCTGAGTTCCCCATCCCCAACTGAGCTCTCTCTCTTCAAGTTCCATGAAAGATGTTTGCTCCACTCCTTCCCCTTTTTGTAGAAGACTGTATGGACTGCAGGAAGCACCACTGGTTTCAAACCTAATCAAAACAAGTTTGACTCCACCTTCTACCTGCAATTTACTCTTGTGCTATCCAGTATGAAAGAACTTGAGACTTGTCACAGGGAATGGACAGGGGGAAGAAAGAGAAAGGTAGAAGGAAACACGTGAGAAAATACAGTGCAGGGAGCTACCATGAAAATGGGAGAAGAAATTATTTTAAATGGTATCCCCTAGTTAGGGACATTAGGACAATCAGCAGCTAATGAACAGTGACCAAAGCACCAGATGAGGCTAGAGTATTCTGTCTATGCAAGATTTACAGGAGCAGCCCCAAACACTGCATTTGACACCTGTGAAGTTCAAACTCACCTGTAAGTTTTGTATTTTCTATTCAGAAATAATAAATTATAAGGCACCAAAATAAACAGTTGCCTTTATAGTGCTTCTATGTCACTACACATTTATGCAAAAGTCTAATGTTTCTTCTACTCCAGGAGATAGGGAAGAGGAGAAATGACTACTTCTGTGACAATACTGCAGCTTTATACAATAACTGTTCTAAAGCAGTAAGTAGCAGTCAGTACTAGTTTTACTCATCTCCTGTTTTTTCCTGGACAGGATTTTAAAATAATTTTTCTGTTTAGAGAAACTGTAGTTGTGAGAGACTGCAGTCCAACTCTGTGAGAACAAGAAATAAGAGGCTCTGTTGTGCAGGTTTCCGTAGTGCCCAAGGTCAAGCGTAGTTTTGAACTGCAGGTGCAGTGGGCTAGGAGGGATGAAGCCCAGGGCAGCTGACCCAAGCTGTCCTACCAAAATATTCCATATCATAAACATCACTCTCACCAAAAATCAGGAAGTTTGCAAGGAGGTTTGGGGTTTCCACCAGGGCTGTCTTCCTGACAGGGTCCCATCTGTCTCATCAGTCATCCCACACCTGAGGCCTACTCCTCCACTTGCTGTGACCATTGTGTTCTTTCTGGAGCTGTCGTGCTGGCAGTGTGGGCATTCAGCCTTCACTGTTGGAAGCACACAGCTCAAGATTGCTATCTGGAGCTGAGCATCACTTTGTATCTTGTATTAGCATTGGGGTTAATATTAAGTTAATTATTTTTATACTATTGCATCTGTTTTCATTTCAACCCACAGGTCACATTCCTTTTTCCCCCAATTCCTCCTCCCACAGGGAAATGATAGAACAACTGTCCAAACTGCAACAACCCATGGAGCAAGGTATGCCCTGTAAGCCTCTTCCTTGTATGCCTGCTACAAAATTTAGCCATCATGCACTTGGAAACACAGTATCAGTCTAAGATTAAAGCAGGTCTTTAACCATCTTATAACTGCTAGAAGACAATATGCAGTATTTATTCAGCTGCATAGTGAGAGCCCTGGATTTACCCCTACCTATCGTGGCAGGAAAATTAATTCTCAGCCAAGTACTCACACCCCCTTTGCCACGGCAGGGGGATGTGGGGGTAGAAGAGCAAGGTATTAGGATCCAGAGGACACTTGCCTGAAGTCAGTACATAACTGACACCATTTACTTTTCCATCCTGTTTTTGTTTCATACTGTTACAGTAATAAAGTTACTTTCTATACTAAGATTTCACATTATGATGAACAAAACTCCTCAAAATATTGAAGGTATTTATTGCCATTTGGAACATTTTTATTGTTCAAAAACACTGCACTGAAATAAAGTCCATCACATACATTCTTTGTCATCTATACCTTTACATCAACGTAACTTTCAGGCAGGTTATGCGGGAAAACCATCCTCCTAATGAAGTAAAATCTACTGAAATGGAACCTTGTGTCCTTTAGTTCTTAAGATCCCAAACAAGTTAAGTTTTTGCCTGTTCAGGATTACATACATCTAGAACAACTCAAACAGTAGGAAAATAAAATCCATTTAGATCTTTTTAAAGAACAGTAACAGACTTTGTTGCTTCCTTCATTCAGTGCTATGCTTTTGTTTTGCTGAGTCTTCTTTAAATATTGTGCCACTTAAAAATGTGTGTTAATGAAATCTCTTTACTGAGTCAAGGCATGCAGCAAGGGAAGAAAGATAGCTGGTCACTTCCAGGCTGCCTACCTACACATTTATTCTTGTAGATTAGCAAGCCACTGCTTAAGTTATTTTAAAAAAACACAACAAAAACACTAGGAATGAATGCACCCAAGTTAAATGGCTTTTAAGAATATGTTAATACATAGAACAATGATACCACCTACAGTTCTGTTGATGTTCATGTTGACTTGGATACAGGTTTTGTCAAATCATCACAGGCTATTTTTGTAGACCGTTAGGTAAAAAAGTTGGTTTTCAAATACTGCTTATTATTTGGATTACTAAGTCTTTATTAAAAAGGTAGTTATTATGGACCTGTAAGGCAGCAAAACCTTAAATGTAATGGTTTATGTTGCTGAATAGTACTTTTTGTCAAGATCCAATGAAAATAGTCAAGGATTCTCCGTGGGGTCATATTCATAACAGGTGTTTCTGTTTTATCCCCATTGTAACTATCACAGCAACTGTAGATGGCAAGTCTTCCTTGGTTGTAATTCAGGATGAACACATTCCCTGGCTTATTTCAAGTTACATATTTAGTTCTTTTTCTCCAATCTGCCAAAAGAAGAACAGCTTTTGTAAGAGTGAATACTGAACTGTAATTGGTATAAAAAGAAGTATCTGTAATTCTAGTAAAACTTTAGGAATGAAGAACACTTGGCCAGTTATTTATACAAAGGCAATCCCACTTGTAGTTTTTGCTGTCTAAATTTTTTAATTTATAGCTCAGGTGGCTTCATCCTCCTATTGCTCCGCATAGACTTCTTGGAGCAGAAGAGAGAACAAAAGCCATAATCCTTACTCATCAGGATTACTTGGGGCAGTGTCTGCACTACTTGCTACACAAGGAGGGTGTGACACTGCTTGCAGTCTCCTCCCTACTCAGTTGGATCTACCCCATATATTGAACAGCCAACTTAGACATGTTTTGTTTGATTTCTTCGACATACAACCCCTTAACAGTTTTATGGGTGTTTCCACCTTAGAAATTAGTTACTTAGATATATACATGCAGGCTGATCAACACAATCCATGAAACAAACCCTAAAATAGCCAGCAGCTACTGAAAGCCCTGTCTACATCCATGACCATAAGGGTTTTCAGCCTTTTCTGTATGCACCCCTCAGAAGCCTCAAAAAGGGGTGCAAAGCAACAAGTCATAGTTCAGCCTACCAACACAAGGAGCTTGTTAAAAGGTGTGCAAAAGGTAATAAATTAAACAAATTCAGAAACCATACAGGAGTTTGCATCAGTTAAAAGCCACTAACAGAGTATTCCAAGAGCCATCAGTTTGACTTCCCCTTCTTAGTATGACTTGCCTGTATTTGATCAGTCGTCCTCCTTGAATAAGTTGTGCAACCTCATTAGTCAAATGGCATGCAAAAAGAAGCCAGTTCCTCGGCTGCACTTTGTAGGCAAATCTCATAAAAGTCAAGGAGTAACAACACAGTGCTGCAAAACATGTTAAGATTTCATTAGTAGATTCTTAATATCTGCATTTTGTTGAGGCATAATTTTCACACTAGCAGAATGTAATGACAAGTAGAATACTTATCACTGCTTTTGAGTTTTCCAGTAGTCCTACAAACGAGTCTACTTTGAGGATCCAATGCAGGAAAAAAACAACAGTTCTTATTTTTGCTACATGAGAGAACCTGTAAGACTGCAGCTTTCCACAAAAACTCATTTTCCTCATACACTTTCCAGCAATACAACTAAAGCCTTTTTATTTTGTTAACTCAACTATTTCAGCCAGAGAATGAGTTAATTCCAATGAGACATGGCATAGCCTATACAATTATCCCAACAATTTCTAAGACAAAGTATTTTTAAAAAAATACTGATTTATTAAACACAGTTATTGCTGGCAAAATTTTCTAAAGTGGACTTTCAAGAGGAGGAGGTTTCCATCCCCAGGAAATCAGGAACATTCAGAAGCATAAAGCTTTGTTACCTGCTTTCCAGGAAGATAAGAAATTATTTTAATCTGCTCTCCCATCGTAGTTGCATTTAAATATAGGAAATTACAACTTAAGAATTCACTAGTTTTGTGAAGTTCTATCAGGCCTGAAGAAAAAAAAATAATAATGAAATTCATTGCTAAAACAAAGCAGCCTTTTTTTAAAGTACAGAACCTAGAAGACGGAAAAAAAAAGTACATACACACACCATTCTCTATATACTTGTAAATATAAGTGTCTTTTAACCTTGCTGAGCTGGTTAGCTGCCACCAAAACACTATTTGCAAAACAGTTTCACTGTGCCAGAGACTATTTGAACTAGTCTTACATCTCAAGGAGGATGGTTAAGAGACTGAATTACTCTAAGCAGCATGAGGCTATAAATTTCCTTAATCCAAAGGTACTAGCTTTTGGGAGAATTACTCAGAATTAAGTTATAATGGAGTTAAGGAAGAGACATAATGCCAAAATAAAGATAGTAAATTAAAGCTATCAGATTTATTATTCTAGAGAAGTATTTGAACAATCAGAGAGACATGTCTAGGCAAAAACTACACATTCCAAAATAGCTGGAAAAAGTATTGCTTATGCATTTAAAAATAAATTCTGACACTATTCCACTAAGTCACACTAGCCTCTCACAGGCAACTGCTTTGCAAGGGGTTAACTTCCCTCAGCTGCTTTTTGTATTCTGCAGACCAACTCCTACCATTTCTTTGTCAGTGTTGATATTTAGGTCTTACAATAACCACAAGGCTTCATTGTTCTTGATACAAAGGATAAAGTTGGGTAAAGAGATGCATTCTGAACCAGCTCATGCAGTAGTATAAAACAGCAAAAGAATGATACTTGTGGATTGAGTCTGGTGATAACTGCTACAACTCAAGACCCACCTCCCTCCTCCCAAAGAACTAGAAAGCCCTCTGAAAAAATCTCTACAGCTCTTCAGTACTTTAATTTTTAAGTGGCCTCTGAAGTTACATAACAGTATCTTTAGTATCTGTAGCTGCTCTGGTTGCAAGTTTGCAAGCAACTAATAATATACCCCAGCTTGAGGGACAGAATCCATGTTCTGTAGTCAGTTTACTGACAAGAAGTCTGTGTTGGGTCTTACCAAATGTCATTCGGCCACTAATGATTTCTGGAGATTTCTTCATATCATTAAAAGCAGCAACAGGAAGTCCCCAGTTGGCAACTGGCCCCCAAAAGTGCTACAAAGAGAAAAGCAAAATAAAGTTACGCACAAACCTCCTGCAGTATTCTTACAGTTTTCCTTAGCCACACAAAGCTTCAGAGGACAGGGATAAAAGTAAAATTTCAAATTAAGACAGGGACTACTTTTGATGTAAGGAAGAAAAATGAAACTTTTTAGGGGGATCTAGTCTTCAGGCAGGAAGGAAGAGGAACCCACTCTGAATCTTCTTTTAGACTGGAGAGGATCTACTGTAATGTATGGAATGTTGTGTAATTATACCTCAGCCAGAATTAAGCACTGATTGGCATACTCATATAATAACATCAAATGTACATCTCACTTCTGTGCAGAGAATTAGCATTCATCTCTTCCAAATCAGGCTTCTCAAAAATGTAATGAAAACATAAGGACCTGCTGAAGTAAATAACTGGAATGGTTTTGATATTATGCTGAGAATGATGAAAAGCTCAGCAAGCATCTTCCAAGTGCTTACACCATCTCACTGAAAGACCAGGCCCATGAAACCAAACCAGAATGTTACCTAGAGCTCCATCTGTAGTTGCTGAATCCACCTAAAGCTCAACAATTAGAGACAGAAGGGTAGAGCAGTTAGCTACAGGTGTGTATATAGATAGAAAAACAGAGAGAAGAATTGGAAAGAATCAGGTCAGAAAAACTGACAAGAGTTCAATTTGCCAAGTATTGTCTAAAGATGCCAAACTGAGATAAATAGTATTGTAGGTCAAATTTCCACTACTGTTAACAAGCAACAAGGCTTCAGGAGAATTCTCTGCACAGCAGATGCATGCAGTATGTGCAGCAGCTTCTTCTAATGGGAAACCAAGGATGCTCCAAAGTTACTTGGCCAGACAACAAAAGAGGTGCACCTTGCAAGAAAGAGTTCTACAGATACCAACTATATAATTTATTTATTTTTTTTACACTTCCACTAACTATAACACTGCAGTATTACAATGATTTGGAATTGTCAGGGGATATTTAAGTTTACTGGAATTTTAATTCCAAGATACTCTTGGCCAGTCTGGATACTAGTTTGTAACACTACAATAAGATTAAAAGCCACGCTTAATTTTTCCATAGTGGGACTGCAATGTAAGAAACTTAACTAAAAACACAAGTATAGATAAAACTGAGTTTGAGTTGTACACACTATTTTGATAGTTTAACTTCAGTGCAATATGCAAAACAATGGCATATTTCTGCAAGTGTCTACAGAATGTGTATTGGTCCAAACTCAGATTTATAATAAGAGTATTTTGAAGAGTGCAATAAATGCATTTGTTTGCTATATACTGACAGGAAAATTGACATCTGTAATGGTTCAAGCCTCTCAAGCACATCAGACGTAACATGGCTTAACTGAGAAGAGTTGCATGGCTATATGGTATTTACACTGTAAACCTACAGTTAGTGTAAATAAATAACACCACTTACACTCAAGATGAGTTGGAACACAACATTCACAAAGTGAAGTCAGTAGTGCACATGTTAGTTTTAGAAGCTTTAATGTAGCTATTTTAATAGTTTTACAGGACAATAAGGGTCCAGAAACAAACACGTAGTCACATGCTTATTTGCACAGAAATACAACGTGTGTTAGCATCATCACACTAAAGCAGACTGGAAAAGGTAACTTGTGAGGTAGTACGTTTACTTGGTGAAGTTTTAATAATTTCAAAAGTCTCATTTAAACAACTGTAGTTTCAGAAAAATAAGTCTTTAAGGCTTTAAATGTGTTTATTTTTTGATTCTATGAAACATTTACAGCTTTGGGAGTCTTAGTGGTGACTTTTTTGAAAGGTAAATTAAGTCTACTCAGCTTTTTTACTTAATTCACCTGCCATTAGAACATAAATGATACACTATAGACTATGGACCAATTTCACCATAAATAAATAATACACTAGATTAAGGCTGCAAAAGCTGAAGATCATCAGTTTACACCACAGCAGCATTAACTTTCCTCTGCTGATCAAAGAGGTAGATTTGGAACCTTCTCACTTGAGATGGTTATCCAGTTATAAGTGCCTCCAGGCAGGCAGCCCTTTGAAGTTTCTGCACACAATAATTAAACTACATCTATACAGTTTGTCTTTAGTCTACGTAGAAGAGCAAGTCTCCCATAGCATTATGACATAACAGACATAAAATACACACTCCCAGTTCCAAGAGTAAACTGAAATGCTGATGGAAAGAAAACTCTGTAGTAAGATTTATACAGTACTATTTATTGTCTGAAGTAAAGCTAGTTAAAAATAAGACAAGTAGTTAAGCTATGTGCCAGTATTCTTGCTATGCAAAAGAATGGCTCCAGATTGATCTGATCTCCTTAGCAAAGAGTACGGGGAAAAAAATTAAGTCCCTTTAATTTTGTAGCAATTATTTTGGACATTCTGAAGGAGCTAATGTTTGGTCACCTTAACTTCAGACTTCTGAATAAATATTACTAGTGCGTTACTCCTGGAGGTTTGTGGTATGCTTATCAGATGCAGGCAAAGTCATAACACTGCTGAGGCAAAAAGAATGCAAGTTACTGAAGTTAAGAAGGAAGTGAAACCAGAAGTTCTTTTCTTACCGTACTGTTCGAGTGGGCCATCGTGTTTTCCATTCAAAAAAAGCACATGGAAGAAAGAAAAAAGTTAGTTTCTTGCATAATCAACATTAACAAGTGTGCTATAAACAGAAGATGGATCAAAGTCAGGAAATTGCTATGGCATTAGCTTTGATTAATGTATCAGTATTAAAAATCCCACTTCCCTAAAGAACTATAATTGTGCCAAGTGTTTGCTGCTCAAGTACCTTTTCCTAGCAGGACAAAATCCTGTTGTGGTCTGTGGAAGACATTCAACCCCTGGAGACTTCAAAGCATCCCAAATCCCACTCCAACTAGTATAAAAGGATGCCAAAAAGAGGGAAGGTTTGCCCATGACAAAGCTAAACAGCTACATTTCCTTTGTGGAGGCTTTGAAGAAGTTACCTGTAATTCTTTGTATAGCCATATAAATAGGCCAAACCAAATGCTGCCAGAGATCTTAATGTCGCTAAGCTCAGGTTAACTGTAGCTTTGTTACAAGCCACAGGCTGGTTCATTATTTCTTTTTAGGGTGACCTTGACTAGTCTAACCACTTGTCACCTGTTTTCTCATTAACTGAACTGCAGCAATAATTAATAGAAGCTCCCAAGACAACTGCACAGCTCATTTTTCTCATAAAACCTTAACTAAACAAGTTCAAGTATGTCTCTTGGCACAATGTTTTTGTGCCAACAGAACTCAGCCTTCATTTTTCAAGCAGAAGTTGTTTTCACGCAAGTGAAAGCCTAAAATAGATTCAGAGTACTGCTATTTTAACAGTAGGCAGCTCTGGCTAAGGTCTTGCAAGGTTGTCCTCATATGTGAGACTGAAACAGTTATTATACTTCTAGATAAGTGCAGATCAAGGTCATAAAGACTTTTTCAAAAGCAGGTATCCAGCCCCAAAGCTCTGCAGCCAGTACAACCACAAATAATGCACCACATCCAATATCGAGGATACCACAGCAAGTGCAGGAATTCCTGAAGTGACACCGTTCCAAATGAGTAGTTTCCAAGGGCTACATTCAGTCCTTTGACAAAGGGGACACATTATATTAAATTTTCCAGAACCACGGAGAACAACTGGATTTACTCACTCATTAGTTTGTGTGTCTGCTTTCTGTATAAGTGTCTAGACATCACAAGAGGAATCAACAGCTGGTTACTATCTTATATTGCTACTACAATCTATTCCAGAAAGGCTAAATCTGGGAGTATTTATTTTTCCAAATTTTTTAAAAAATATTTTCCTCATACTGGCAATGATGATTTTAATTCTGCAAATACAGATTAACTGCCTCCACCCATTTCCTCCTCATTGCCATTAAGTGGAAAAAGTATTGTCCTTCTTCAAGTGGTAGATTGTTCAGTTCTCCACATCGCAGGCGCTGTGCCTTTCAATTCCTAGCACAGAACTGGAAAGGACTTGTTTTTAAATTCTCTTGTCCATGTGCTTAAGGATTTACTAATAAGACCTAAAGATCAGGTAATTCTATTACGATGCTGACTCTTCTAAAGTTAATTTCAATGAAAAGAAAAGTCCTAGAGAGCTTACATCAACCTAAGTGCTCAAGCTTTACAAGGAATCATCTATTTTAAAGCCACCTACATTAACATTTATTTGCATTACTGCTGAGTCATCAGGAAGAGACACTTCAGAATGGCCCAGGAGATGGCAATCTCCATGGTTATATTTTTGTCACCAAAAATATTTTGGAACTCCTTGAAATTTACTATTTATTTATTATTTATTATGTGACAAAAGTAATTTCTACCACAAGAAAATGCCCGAGCTTGTCTACAGTGCCCTATAGGTCTTCTCTCTCAAAAGAGGAGAAAAGCTGTTTTACTGGATGTTTTTTAGAAGACACTGCTGGATTCAGTGGATTCAGTTTCGTACTATTACTGGCTTAGATAATACAACTTTAGTGACACCTGACATTTTTAGGATCTCTAGAAAAAAACACAACTTCAAGTTCCCAATATATAGAGCTACCAAGTTTTCATATGCTAATCAGCTAGTTTAAAATGTACACTACCGCTGCATTTTACAAGAAGCAGGACAAGTCTACCTACAGCTTACATTCTTACTATGCTTAATTTAAAGCATTAAGATATGCTTACAGTAAATTTATATTTACATGATTTACACAGTCTTTCAGATCCCCATTAATCACCACTTCAGAGGAGTCAGAAGTGAAACTGGCAAAACATTTAATTATTAATGCCAGTTTTAAAAGCGATGTATCTAGGTTTTTTTGTGCAAGATCCAAAAGCTAACCCATGATGTAATACAATTCTAATGCCAGATATAACCACCTGAGAAAAGTAGCACACATTCATTATCCTTGCTTTCATGTTTATGTTATGAAGCTGAAAATGAAGCTACTTATTCCAATAGATGTCTGCAAGTTTTG